CTCCCTCTCCCTCTCCTCTGTCTCTCCTAGGTGGAATCTCTTTCTCCCTCTCCCTTGCCTTCTGTGTCTCTCTCTGTCTCTCTCTCTCTCTGTCTCTCTCTCTCTCTATCTCTCTCTCTCACACACACACACACACGAGTCAGGCTCTTCCTCCACTTTCTGTGAGTCATCAGGTGAATGGCTGCCCTTTGCTTCTCACCCTGACTGATGAGTGAGAAGAAGCCAGGTCAGTGTGGAGCAGGGCAGTGGTGTCCAGTGCAAGCACTGGTCAGCGTTGCGGGCACCTGTGCGGACGCCTGAGCCCTGCTTCGGGTTGCTGCCCAGTGTCAGGTGCAGGGTGGGTGAGGAGGTAGGGTGCATCCTGTCTGCTGCCTTATAACCAAAGGAGCAGACAGCCGGGCCCCACTGCAGTACTGAGCTTCTTTCCGTGTTTGACCCCCAGTTACGGTGCCACAGAGCAGAAGGGTTCTTGGGATCAGTTCCCTGGTTTTTACATTTGTTCATTAGCTGGAGTTGACTTTTAATTATTTTAACCATCATATTCACAGCCATTAGCAAATTAAATTTAACAGTTTTAAAATAGCCAAACAGCATGAATCTTATGTCATCTTATTTTTACTGAAAACCCTGTTCCTAAAAAGCCACAGTAGACATTCGCTTGTAATAAATCATGCTGCTCTAGGAATTTTTAGTATATTTATGTATTTATCTTGGTCTTTTGAGATAAGGTCTCACTGTGTAGTTCAGGCTGGCCTCAAACTCACCCATTGGCCTTGAACTCGTGGCATCCTCCTGCCTCAGCCTCCTGAGTCCTGGGATTACAGGTCCAGCTTTTAATCAGTTTAATGGGATTTATAAGCAGACAGTTGTGTAGTCTGAATTGCTGTGGTAGACCCAGTGCATCACCACCTTGGGTCACAGTCCAAGGGGCCAGTGGGCAAGGGGCCAAAGGGCTCTTGAAGGGGCCGGTGGGCAAGGCAGCGACCAGCATTGCTTCCTTTTCAGCACAGAGCACACCTGAACTCAAAACAACACACCCGAACTTGTCACTGAACACAGTCGAACTTAGCACTGAGCACTCCTGAAAAGGAGAGAAAGTTGTGTTGATCTTCCTGACTGCCATGTGTACTGACATCTCTTCAAATGGGAACGTTCATTTGTGCTTTCAAGAAAATCCAATGTGCACGTTGATCAGGATGCTCGCCAGTGACTCCCGGCCACACCGTGGTGTGCCCCCGGCCGCCTCCTCTGGCCCCCGAGAGTCTCCGGGGCGTGGCTCTGGGGACACTGCCCCCTGCACCCCCTTGCGTCTTCAGGGCACAGGTGCACAGTGCCGCAGAGAGCAGAAGGTACCCTACTTCCACCTTTCCCTTTAGTGTCCGTGCATAGTGTACTGATCCACGTTTAAAGATTTAATAATTAGGGATATTTGAAATTTCTTTAGTGAATGATTCACAGTTTAATTTTTCCAAATGGCATTTTACTGGAAGAGCTATTTTGATTAACAGTTTAATGTTTTTGTAGAACTCTATACATTAACAAAATGAGTCAGCTAATTTATCAATGAAAAGAAATCATGGATGTTCTTTAAGACTAGAAACAAGATTCTAAATATTTTATTTACTTCTAGTCCTTTCCTTTTATATCCTTAGGTAAAATCTCTTCTATGTGAATTTTTCCATCAACTTTTAATCACAAAACAATGTCCACTAAGGCCTAGCTTCACGACTTACATCATGTAATTCACTGTATAGATACGATTATAGTGACAGTGAAATGGAACTTACTGTGAAGATCGATTTTATGTAGTTGCATTGTGTGTGTTGCATAATAAAGTATGCTACATAAATGTGCATTCCTTTATCACGTGTTCAGTTCACATCAAAAGAATATGAGTCTAATGCTTTCTACACTCTAGATTGGCCCCCACAGCTACTTAGAACTGAGTGAAGTGCCCTGCTATCTGCCTGGAAAAGTACTTAGCAAAAAATAGGCCTTATTAAATGTCACTATTAGTCTATTTAATTAATATATTGTAACATAAAGTAAGAAGTAGTAGAGAACTGAGTCCGAATAACCCATAATGGGACTTTCTCTGTAACTTCCTTGAGGGGAAAGAGAGAAATCCACAGGGAAATGATCAGTTGGCTCTTGGCCAAAGTGTGAGTGTGCTTGTTCCGCCCGCATTTCATCAGCAGAAGATGCCTGGTAACGAACAGGAGTGGAGCGGAGTGGGAGAGACATCCACACCCAGTCCATGACTGCAGGTAACTTACCCCATTTTTATGATTTTTAAGCATCTCATTAGATAAATAAGGTTAATACTCTGGAGCTGATAGGGCTGGCTGTAAAGATTAAATTAGGTAATAAAAAGAACAGGGCTCAGTGTCTTCACGTACAAGGCACACGGCAACCACTCTCATTCTTTCCCCCCTGGGACGAAGAGGAGCAAAATGTAAGAACAGAATAGAGGAACAGAATTGTTGTGTAGTACTGTGTCTTCACAGCCTCTGAAAAACATGAGCTCTTATCTTGAAATTGAAGCTGTATTCATAGTCACAGGCAGAGAAATCCTGAAATGACTTAAATGATTGGAAACAAATCCTGAATTGTCTTATTGCATTGCTGTGATTATTGACATATGTGAGAATCGACTCTTGAGTTTTAGTCTCCCCTTGTAGAGCTTATGTATTTTGTAATTTTAGTTTTTGTTTCAAAAAAGATTTTAATATTCGTTGCATGTTAATCAAATTTTCTACTCATATCTTTGAGATATGAATTTATAGTAATTATTTTTCCATTAGATATATTAGTTTAATTTTGTCTTACCAAACCATATTTTAAAAAAAATTTGAACAAGAGCCTTAAATAAGAAAATGGTTATACTTTCACTGTACTAAATTTTATCATAGATTTCACTTATTACTTGCAAGCGGTATTTTTCACAAGCAGTTTTTAAAATTGAAGATAAAATACTAATTTTCAAATCAAACTCTTTTTTAACATAGAGTATATAATTTACTTTTTCCTGTTTTTACACAGGTACCATGCTTTTTCACAAAAATTTTGGGGCTATATAAAGCCATATTGATAATTTTTGTAAGTTGAGTTGGTCAGTATTAGAGCATAATAATCGTAATTGGCTAGTGAGAAATAATTTTTTTAAAAATTTAACTTACAGTTTTTCCAGCTTTGTGCTAATAATAGGCATTTAAAAAAATCTTGGCAATGAAAAATCAGCTTCTGTGTAGAGGAAGAGGAATTTTAATCATGGGAAACTTTATTTATTTTCCATAAAGTTTATTGGTATATATTTTAGGTATACAGTACAGTTACATTCATCACTGGGATCTTGTACCTTTACATGACAGGTCTTGGTTCTTATTCTTTTCCCATTTCCCAGCTTTCCTTTCACCCCCTCTACCCTGCCCTATTTACAAAGACTTTGTTTCCATTTTCCTTTTCTCATATTTTTTTCCCTTTTTTTCCTTTCCCCTACACTTTCTACTTCCCCTACTCCTTTAGACCTTTTCTTCCTATTACACAATATCACTTATACATTTTGATCCTAATTTACACTTTTAGTTTTTCATACCAGAGAACCTATTCAGTATTTACACATGTGTGTCCTATTAATTTCACTTAAGAGTAGGGCTTCAGTGTGCATCCAGTTAGCTATAAATGTCTCTATTTTTTATTTATGACTGAGTAGTACTCCATTTTATTACACACACAAAAAAAACCCGCCAAAAACCATATCATCTTTATCCAGTCTCTAGTTGATGGGCAACTGGGCCTTTTCCAAGTTTTAGTTATTATATATTGTGCCACTATAAACATGGGTGAGCAAATATCACTGTGGTATGACTCTTTTAATTCTTTTGTTACTAACGTAAATGCAGTGAGGAATATCCATGGCGTTAACAGTACATTGGCATATTTAAACTGAAATGTTAGGTAACAAGTGACTGAGTTCTCTTAATTTTACATAGCTAAGCCATTTCTTACTTACTGATCTTTCCATAGGCAGTGTTTTTTCAAGCAGTCTAGGGCATGAAGAATTAAAGTATTTGACTCATTAGGATAAATTGATGACTACATTCTTTCAAAAGTTGTGCAATGTGTAGTGTTTCTTTGTTAGTGTGGAAATGTTCTAGAAAGTTCATATTCCATGGTGGGGTCTCCAGGTGGATTCTGGCAGTGGACGGTGCTTGTGTAGACTGCAGAGGGAATCGGCCTGCAGAATCAAGTTGGTTCTTTTTTTGGTACCAGGGATCGAACTTGGGGTCTTTGCACTTTCAAGCAGGCCACTGAACCGCTGAGCTAAATCCCCGCAGCCCTTAAGTTGGTTCTTAACACAGGTATCACTGAATTTCTCTTTAAAATTGTACAACTGGAATTTTCCTAGGCCCTTACTAGGGAGAATAAGGCATATCTGTATGTATTATTCTACAGCACAGATAGTGTACTTGGTTATGGTGTCAGAACAGGCGTTTTGGGGGCTGTGATGCCCCTGACCCCCGCCTTGCTCCTTTCAGGGTTCAGGTGTTTAAAGAAAATTCTAGCCCAACATCACTGCTTCAGAAGCCTGGCTGCCCCCACTCCTAAAGATTTGTGGTTGGTCAGGTGCTGGGCACTGTAACCAGGTGGCCGTACTCCATTATTTATGGCCTGTTCTGTGGGAAGCTTTGGCATATATATTATCTCCAGGAACAAAGCCCCTTCCAGCAGGGAGCCGCGGGAAGCACCAAGACAAGCCTGGTGTGCAGCATCTTTTCCCGTTCTCTTCCTTCAGCCTTTGTAAATCATAGATCACAGAGGCCTTGTTCTCAATCACGGAAAGGAAAGGGAGCAGTGGAGGAAGGACTGGGTCGCCGAGCTGGGGAAGAGCGCTCACGGGATGCCTAGTTCTGGGAAAGGACTCTTCAGGTGTGCACTTTTAGTCTCACTTGTGTATGCGTGTGCAATTGCACACTGCAGGAAGTAGGATTTATTAGAACAATGAAATGTTTTGTGAATATGACAAATTAACTGGCTAATATATGGTAAAATAATTCTGGATATTCCATTAAAGGAGATCTGTGGGTGGCCAGGTACTCAGCGTCCGAATCGCGTATACTGCCTGTATTACAGAAAGGTGATAACACAAGTTTCAGGCTTTCTCTTAGAGGGTGATTTTTCCTTTCCAGTTTTAAAATCTAGCATTCCTTCAGCTCAGGTCTATTTATCTTGTGAAAAATAGTTCGTGTGAAGTTCCATTTGCATAGCGCAAATATTTTTGTGAATGCGAGGTACATAAAAATCTTGATAAATTTTAGTTTCACATTCCTGGCCAGACTCCTGGTGCAGGAATCTTGAGTATCAGCTGAAGTCCCTGTAAAATGCAGGCGGGCGTCATTTTATAATGTATTGTGAAGATGTTTTGAGACATACCGAGTAGATTAAAAGGCTAAAAAATGTGTAAGATGTAATTAGGAAATTCTCCCCTGATTACTCAGTTGCAACTGTGCTGTACCAGTGTTTTTGGATAGTAGTTTAGAAGGATTCATAGTGAGCATCCCCGCGTAAAGGGGCAGGTTTTGCAATTCTAACTTCCCATAGAAGTGGAATGTGCATGAGATGTTTGAAAAAAAAAAAAAGTCTGTCCTTAAAAGAGCAGTAACTGCTTGGAGTTTCACTTCCTGGATTGCTCTGGTGTGTGAAGAAGCACTGGGCGTAGTGTTTGCCTGGACACGGTGCCCACTGTCCCGTGCCTGTGGTGGGGTTGGATCTGTAAGGGAAAGTGTCTGCCAAGAAAAGCACTTTGCAGTTGACCATTGGCTGGCTGTTTGGGCACTGGACATATGACCAGTTCCTTCTATATTTTCAAAAGTTTTTTCCATAATCAAGACAAATGACACCAGGTGTGGTGGCACACGCCTGTAATCCCAGCACTTAGGAGGCCGAGTCAGGAGGATCACTGTGAGTTCGAGACCAGCAAGGGCTACAGAGCGAGTTCCACGTCAGTCTCAACTACATAGTGAGACCCTGTCTCAAAAAAAAAAAAAAACAAAAAAACCCCCAAAGAGACAAGTGACTTGTTAGGAGAGAACATTTTCAGGAAGTTAGCTGTTCTATGTGGATCGGGCTTAGACATGTGGAGCTTCTTTTTCCAGCAGATGTGTCAGCCAGCCTCGGGGACCCACCTGGTCTCCTAGGTTTGTGCCATCAAACTGCATTCTCACAATCTTTTCTCAGAGATGGAGCCTCCAAACTCTGGTAGTCTGTCACTGATGCATTCTCTCTCCCACGTTCTGTGTTGAAGTTCCTGGGGACCAGGAAAAGGGAGGCTGTGTTCCTCTCCAGAACCTGGGCGGGGTCACACAGGGCAGCAGAGTGCTCTCTCTGCTCACTGTCTGGTTGCGGTCTGCAGATGTAGCCTGCTCACCCAGTGTGAGTGCTGACCAGAGCAACCCAGCCAGACTGCAGGCCCAGTCTCAGTGGTGTCGCAATGGGAGTGCGGTGGCTGACTAGGAAGCCTCACCTGGTGTTTGCGGTGCCCACACCTCGGATGCTTGCACCAGCACGGGCCTGGGGAGGAGTTGCTGCGCTGACCTCGGCCCGCGGCCACCAGGAGGGGATGAGCGCTGCGCTGGCCCCTGGCCCCTCTCTGTGGCCTTGGACTCTGTTCATTTTGCTTATCTGTGAATAATAACTAAGGGAGATGCGATACTAGAAGCCAAACAGAGCAGAGGATGCCTCCTTAGCCCCAGCAGCCTGTCTGATGTGAGGAGGTGGCCCTCGGGTTCTCCAGGCAGCGCTGTATTGTGTCTGGTGCTTGTCTGCAGCTTGAGAATTGCAGGAGACGGCAGAGTGCCCCCAGTTTGTAGCCAGCTTGGCTTCCTGTTTGGTTGTACTTCTCGCTTTACTCTTCCCAAAGGCGAGATGGTCCTGGGCCGACAGTGTATTTTTGTCCTGTTCTGTGCTCCCCCACACTGTTGCTGTTGGGTTGACGGAGGAAGTTTTGCTCCTACTCTCACGGGCTTCACCGCTGCCCCTGCCCCGATTGATCCTGCCTGCTGGATCCTGGGCCTGGCTTTCTGCAGGGACCTCCTGGGTGGCCCAGGGGGTGGGGAGGATGCAGTTCACAAACGGGGTGGCAGGTGTGGGGACAGAGCAATGATTCAGGAGTGAGCTACAAACCTCGAGGCTTCTTTTCTTAAACACCACCACCTTCCCTAATGAGTGCCCAAGATGCAATTAAGTTAACACAGGCAAGCCGTCCAGA